ATTGGTCAAACTTTTGTTGACAACATTTATCTATTTACGGTGGGTGATAATTGATTGTTTGTGATTGAGTGATTTAGGGTTATTTTACAGAAGAGAATATAGATAGATTTGAGAGATGCTTAGGAGAGAGAAGTTGGAAGGGGAAGAAGTGTGGGGGATATTTATTTCCTTTTTTTCTTTTTTCTTTTAATTTATATAAGACAATTTTTATAAATAGAAAAATAAAATAGAAATAATAAATAAGTTATTTCATATGGGTGAGAGATCAACTATTATAGAAATTAAAACAATATGGACCTTTCATAAGACCGGAAAATGTTAACGACTAAACTCAATATTTCTAAAAATCATAAGTACCATTTATGATGATTTGTCTACAATGTTTTTTATAGGATTTTCTTTAAGTTTTAAAAAAGGTTATAAAAAGCCAATTTTACTTATTATTGTTTTTTAGAAATTTACACCCTAAAAACAAATATAAACACAATATGTAAAAACATAGTTTCTAAAAAATCTAATTTGTAAAACGAAAGAAATCTTAAAATATATACATGAAAATGAATATGTAAAATATATTTAGAAAATAAATTATAAAATCAATAAGAAAACTACTTTTCAAAATATGTGAAAGCGAAATTGGAAAATAAAAATAAAAATTATGGCCAAATTTGATAAAAAAAAAAAAAGGTGCAACTTGTATATATTCATGAAAAGTTGGATAACAAATATGCACGTTATATATGGTGATCAATTTCCAACAAATTTATCCTGTTGATCCTAAATATTTTTTAAAGATATAAGTGTGTAGATCGAGGTTTACCATCAAATTAATTAGTGGGATGATTTATTTAAATCACTTTTTTAGAAGTGGTTATCTCTCAAGAAATGAAAATGTATAAAATATTCTTTAATTACATTAAAACTGGTTGGAAAAAAATAACGTTATCCCTAAAAAAATAGATACTTTAATGAGTTTTGACATAACAGATAATTCAAATTTTTATGGATTAGGAGTAGAGCAAAATAGGGTAGGAATTCGATTTGGAACTCTTGGGTTGAAAACCCATTGTATTATACCATGTAATTCTAATTTTTAGTTGTTTTAATTGAAGTCTAGGTGTTAAAAAAAAAAAAAATTCAATTTTCTGTTGATGGTACAAATCAAATAGATCGTTGTAAATTCATGATTAATTTTGCCTCTTTTGAAAATAGAAACATAATGAAGTAGCTTATCGTCAATTCGTGACCTTTTGTTTCAAAAACTTAAAAAGTTGGTTGCCATGAAAAAATGTAAACAAACAATATCGTTTGATATACCCACGTCACCCGTAGTAGAGCCTAGGTGGGGACACATCAACCAACTTTCATTGTGAGCGTGGAAAAAAGGGAACTTGGAATTAAATAGATGAACTAATGAAAATGACAAATTAATTAGTTAATGGTACCAGATACTAGTTAGGTGAAATGAAGATGGAATTGCATTGCGAATGGATATTTTATCAAAATTTGATATCAGAAATTTGAAATGTATTGAGATAAAAATGCAACAAAACTTACTGTATCTACGATTCAAGTAACGTGATAATCCTGCCTGAGTGACTCCAAGCACGACATCATTGACTGTCTGCAACATTAAAGTCATCGATCACATAGATGTAGATTATCACAATTCGTTTTAAAACAAATGATCTTGAAGATCTTTACAAAAAAGTTATTTTCTTTAACAAGGTTTTGCATGTGGTAAAACCATATACGTGATAATATACTTTCTTTACCAATGTCGTCACATGTTATCACTTATTTAATTTACTTGTGATTGTATGTGCTAAACAAGAAATATGACATGTAATACGATGACACATTTGAATTTATCCCATGTTATAAACATATTAACGTACCACGCCCATGACATTCTTCACCGCCTTAATGTCAGCTAAGTTGACGCTCCTGTGCACAAAACGCCTTGGTCTATTCTCAACTCCTAGACTGCCTTTTAATGGGGTTTCTGTGTCTTTAAGAAACAACAGGGTGAAGACAAACATCACAAGCGCAACACAGGAGTTCCACAACATTTCTAGAACCGAACAAAATCCTTTAAATTTTATGTAGCTGTAGTCTTTGTTGAAAGGAAGCGTAGGCAAGGCATTGGGATCCGATGATTTTCGTGTACAAGCAAGAAGAAGTGTCATCAAAGAAATACCGTCCCCTAGGGAATGGTGGAAGCGGAAAACACCTGTTCCTTCATTGTTGGTCGTCTTAATGTCAAGAATATGGAGATCCCATAAAGGTTTTGAGTTCTCAATGGGAGATTTGCTGAGGTTTGAGATATAGTCCTCAACAAAACTGTCTGGAAATGCAATGTTTGGCTCAAGTTTTGGAACGATAACATGGTTATCGATGTTCACATTTGTCGGAACCCACCTAATGCTTTGGGTTTCGTTGTTGAAAACCTAAAAAAAAATCGATAAGCATGCAAGAATTTAGAAATGAAAAAAATTAACTGCCACAAACGAATTAAATGTGCAAAGTAATGCAATAAACCATTGTTTTGGTTGATTTATGAAATATATCACGAATTATCTAGATATCTCACGTCGTATTGTATTAGATTAATCAAGTTATTAAACACAACAAAAATGTCAGCTAATAAAAATAAATTTTTATTCCACACTTAAGTTATATCACCTAATTAATAAAATATATATAAATATAAAAATATTTTTATATTATATATAAAAGCATCATCTTCTGGAATTATATATATATATATATATATATATATATATATATATATATATATATATAATTTTTTGATTTTATCATTTAATTGACTAAAAATAGTCATTTCATTTGAATTAAAGATTATTTTTAATCAATTAAATGATGCAATGAAAAATTATATTTATTCCATCCAAAATTATATTTTATCTTTTCTTTTTAGTTTGTTTCAAAATAATACTCTACTTCTAAAATAAATAACATTTTTACTAAAATATCCTCTTATTATTACTTAATAAACCAAGTATTTAATGGAACATTAAATGTAAAGTAATGATAAAATTGACATATTTTATTGTAAAAAGTTAATGGTAATTAATAATTTTTTAGTCTGTGTGTTTTTGTCTATAGATAATAATTTTGGGACGGAGAAAACACACACACATATATATATATATATATATATATATATATATATATATATATATATATATATATATATATATATATATATATATGATATAATTTTTTTTGTCATTTCATCATATTTAATAGACTAAAAATATTCTTTCCTTTTGAACGAAAATCTTCATGGGAGTGAATTACATTTTATGACGAATCTTATATTTCATTCATGCACAATAGCTAAACAAGACTGTTTTTATTCCATTATAATGACCACCCATTTTATATCAACTATGATTAGTGCAAAGCAAATACTAAAAAATATATTAATTAGTTAACATCATTTATAGTGTCATAAAACTTAATTAGCAAAGTAAATAGCAGACACGTCTTAGGGACATATAAATCTTTTGAAATTAATGTGTTGGTAAGATAACTCATAGACCTAGAGACCCGAGTTTTAATATATACCACCATCGTACATTAATATTAGGTTTGCACCTAAAGTCCAAAAACAGAAGACCGCTTTAAAAAGTGTCATATCAACTTAATATATGAAAGTTATTGTTAATATGGTTCCTTTCAGAACGTGAGCACTTATCTTATTTTTTTTGCCATTTGTAATGTCTCAAGTACAAAGTAGCATAATGGTGTACTAACCTAAAATCAACGTCAAATTATATTACAACGATAAGATAAATTATCAGACCATTGTTTACCTGTAGGCTTGAGAATCGAGGATGTCGAAGGAGAGATTGAACAAGATTTTCTTTTAATACATCAACGTTGATCTTAGTTTTGCACCCCATAATGGATATGATGTACACATTGGAGCCAGGCTCATGGAACAACCTAGCCATAGGGCTCAAAGGTTGATCTTCTTGTTCTTTAAATCTTGAACCATCTTCCGGAATTGTTTTGATCTGCGTAAGAGTGTTGAGACCTTGTGAGGAACTCATGGCTGCAACAAAATTGAAACTTTCTATATTTGGGAATATAGGTTGAGGTCCTGAATAACTTCCTTTTATGTAAATCCACCATGGCCCCCATTCTTTATGATTTCCGTCATTTATCAAACAATAAACAGGGTCAGGGTCAGTCATGAGCATTTGTGGGGTTTGCGACCACACATGCCCGTGTCGTTTAAAGGGCCCCGGCCATATTTGTTTTATGTATATTAGTATTAAAAACGGGCTAGTTACATATTACTGATAGATTAGTAGCGCATTAATAAAAAAAAATTGCTTTTGACTAATTTATGATAATTATTGACTTTTCAGTGACTTTTTCTTATATAAAAACTATATTTATGAGCCAATTATGATTTTTCCCAGAATGCCTTAATAAATTTACGGACCGAGGTTGACAATTAATGATAGTATATAAAAGAATACTAATAAGGTGTAAAAGTCGAAATTGATAGATATTATATATATACTTAAAATAAAATTTTATTTTTGAGAATGTATTTTCAAAATCAATGTTTAATGTCCTATCTAATATACCTAAAATAAAATCTATACGATATGATTACCTAAATTAAATTATTTGTAACAAGTATCTATTTTATAATTAAGTTATATTTTAGGTTTGATTTCTATATTCCTACTAACTTAGGTCAAGTGGTATACCTATAACGAGGAGGTTCGTGGTCGAACTGGCCATGAACAACAGACGTGCATACCACCGCATTGTTTCGTGGTGGCTCGTTTTCGTGACCATTCGTGTTCGGGACAACGGAATCGCATGACCAACTGGATTGCAGCTCACGATTTGAAAGTTACACTTAGTTTCTTTAAAAAAATTAAACTATTTATTTACCTATAAATACAACATTTTTACTACTTATTTTTTACACCATTCTTTTCTATCTCTATATACAATCTACGTACTAAATCTTCACAACTAAAAAACATGGATCCCAACCAAAATATCCCTTCAAATTACAGAAACCACAAACCCGAAAACGCTTTTGCGTTAGATACAACACCTCGTCAATTCCCGACTATGGAGTCACCTCAAAGCGGTTTTCTCAATCTACTTCAAACCGGTTCCCCTATTCAATAAACACCACTTTTCCAACAACAATATCAACTTTTTCGGTCTTTCCTACAACAAATTTCACAACAATACCAACAATTTCAACAACTCCAACAACTCCAACAACAATCGTCACAATAACAACCTCCAATTTCACAACCACCAAGCTCAGAACCATCACTTTCGCCGGATTTTGTTGCGGAAACGCAACCTTCACCACCACCTCAACCAAAAAAGAAAAAAGGGAAAAAACCGGCCCGACCCACTATCGCCCAAGAAAGGGTTCTATGGACAAAAGAAGAAGAAGAAAAGTTAGCGGAGACATGGGTGGCGGCTTCCGAAGATTCAATTGTAGGCGATAGTCAGCCTTACGAAAGTTTTTGGGAAAAAAATCCGAGCCATTTTCTACGAGTTAATAGAAAGTGAAACTCGAAACGCCAATCAAATTAGTTCGAAATGGCGAGATATTTGACTAAAATGCACCGAATTTGGAAGAATCTACAACAACCTCCTAAACATACGCAAAAGCGGTTCAAACGATTTTGATGTTTTCAAGGCGGCCATGTAGCAATTTGAAAAAACAACGCCAACACGCAAAACTTTTCCGTATATGAAACTGTGACTAAAATTGAAAGACGGTCTAAAATGGAAAGAGCAAACGGAAGGAACTTCGCAATCTTCCGGTTCAAAGCGTTCGAGAAACCCCGATGCAACCTCCCAACAATTGGACGGCCGATTTCACACCCCCAAACCAAGGATGGCGGAAACGTCCGGGGGTGGAGGACTTCATGTATAGTATCATAACCACAATTTCAATAGTAATTTAAGCAAACACAACCAACATATATATAATTGAAAAAGTTACATCACTTGTAAGAATTACATGTTTCAAAATCAATTACAATATGTTGACAAAATATGAAAAGTTTGACGCCTTAATGTCCCATCCTCAAAAGCACTTGATTACCCGATTAGTGTTTTTCCTGAGAATACAAGTTGTTTGAAAAGTGTCAACACAAAGGTTGGTGAGTTCATAAGCTTTTATTAAAAACTTAGTAGAAGTCTTTCACATGTAAATGTCGCGTTTGTTTCAGAAAAATCCGATATTTTCCTTGAAATCCGAAAAATGTAGCCTTATAACCAAAGACAAAATGTATAAGAAATCATCATTACTTAGTAGAAATGTCGTGAGTTTAAAATGATATGGAAAGTAAATTTTTTATCAACCTAAAACCTACTTCGGTTTTATGAAACCCCGTAAACTTTATGAATTGTTATCTCCCTAGGTGAGTCGCTATAATCATACTGTGACTATGTGAACCTGCCACAACGTTTCTCAGGCGTCGCGAAAATGAAATGACATTTGTCACCCGTAGACCTGCAGGTCCCACTGTAGCTAGCAGCAAGGTGTGGGGTGTCAAACCCAATATAGATCTATATACAAGTATCACGTTCTCCCTCAAGGAGATTCTGATTATAACTACCAGGAATTATATCCCGCACTCGGACGTACGGGGAGAGAGAGAGTCTCACAACATAGGTTAACAAGTTTACGTGAAATGTGTGTGATATAAATCTTTCTTGTATGAATGTACCCTTTTTGTACGAGTGTGTTGAGTGATGTATCATAAACTATACCTATTATAGTTTATCTAAAATGTATGTAATATGTATGAATTCTTTTATGGAAATGTATTAGTGTTGTGAATTTATCAAACTATACTTTTTATAGTTAATAATACGTGTTCTAAATGAATGAATAAATTAATATGAATGACTTAGTTTCAGTTCATAATAATAAACTAACAAGGAAACACATTCAAAATTAGAACTTATGATTATACACTTTGCTCAACATAATACAAAGTGTTATGATATTTACATGCTGTTGGCTAACTTTAGCATTCTGCCCTGTTTTGGAAAAATCATAGAAAAATCATACGAAGTCGAAAACTAGATCCGTAAATTCTGAGAGTTCACAAAATGTGTCTAGTTTACTCATAATTTTTATCACGATTTTTAATGACCTCCAACTTGGGTGAAAAAGTCCATAATCACAGACTGGTCCGGATTGTTGTTTGAAATGATAGGCAGTTTTGTAAAAATCACCATAAATTGTAGAAAAATCGTATGGAGATGTGCAAGTAGTCATTTTAAAGCTACAAACTTGAACTATTTGCACCTTGTACAGTTTTGAAAAAAAAATGTTTAAGATGCCCAAAACAGTCCGTGAATGGAGTTGAACTTTTCTGATGAAGGCTGTTAGAAATATTTAGTTATGTTCTTGATGTTTTAACTTGTATTCCCCCCTGAAAACTTGAGAAAACATGAAAATGTAGGGTATGAACTCACCTTAAGTGATTTCAGTAGATGATTGTTGAAGAATGGAAGTGTTTAATTCAAGAACACTTGGAGATGCCTTGAAGGTTTTCGAGAATCTAACATTATAGTTATGGAGTTTGTGTAAGCAATCAAAGATTTGAGTAGAATGAAGTGAAATAATAATAGGGAGGATGAATTTTTACTTACTAAAGTGGAAGAACACTTGAAATCAGCCTTGAATCTCGAAAATTTGTGTAGAAAAGTTTGAGAGAAAAGTGGTGTTTGTTACTTAGTGGAATGAGAGAAATGAGAGAAAATGAGGAGTGTGGTTGTTTGTTCCAGCTCAAAAACGTGGGAGTGAGTGAAATTTGAGTGTAAGGGACATTGAAGTGACATAGGTAAGGTGGGGAGGTATGGCTGGTCATAGAGTGGGTGTGGGGTGGTTGCTTGTGTCATAAGTTAAGGCAAAGTCAACACTCCACCTTAAATAAATCCCCCATTAGATCTTTATTATTTAGATAATGATTTTCATAAAAATATGTTTAAATTATGAATATTTAGAGTTTATTATGTTAAAATATAATTTCTGGAGAAAATCCCGCTTTAAAATCACGAAAAACGGGCTTAAAATGTTAAAAATATCAAAAATGGGCTAAAAGTGACAATTTCCCGAAGTCTGGCCGAGGTTCGGCCTTCTGGTGCTGAACCGAGAGAGAGGGAGGCAGAAACCGAGAGGGGAGAAGAGAGAGGGAAAGAACCGAGAGGGGGAAGGAGAGAACAGAGGGGCGGAGTAGAGACCGAGCGAGAAGAGACAGAGCGGCGGGTAGAGACCGAGCGAGAAGAGACAGAGCGGTGGGTAGAGACCGAGAGGAGCAGAGCGACGGGTAGAGACCGAGAGGAGCAGAGCGACCAGAAGAGAGACTAAGAGAGGCAGAGACCGAGGCTCGGTCTCGCATGCCTCAGCCACCAGAGGCTCGGTTCTGGTCCTAAGAGGCCTCTCATTCCGGTTTCGGTTCCTAAAGCCTATTTTTCTCGTTTTCGCCCCGTTTTAAGCCGTTTTTGACCCGGTTAAGGTCCGGAATGACCCGAATGATTCTAAAAAGTTACGGGAACTATTTGAGGGAGATTTGGGAGAGATTTCTCATACTTGGAGAGATTTGGGAGAGATTTGACATTCTTGGAGAGATTTCTCATACAGAGAGATATTTGAGACAGGTTTCACATACTTGGAGAGATTTGGGAGAGATTTGACATTCTTGGAGAGATTTCTCATACAGAGATATTTGAGAGGTTTCACATACTTGGAGAGATTTGGGAGAGATTTGACATTCTTGGAGAGATTTCTCATACAAAGAGATATTTGAGAGAGATTTCAAGTGTGGCATTTGTGAGTGTTTGGCTCCGCAATGCAAGTTTCTTGAGCCCCGTTAAGTCATGATTAAGGATCCCACACCACTCCCAATGAGTATGCAACATGGTTTTTATCAGTTTAGTTCATTGATTAGCACTAGGGCTTAGGAAATTTTAACACAAGACTTTTCTCAAGTGATGTTTTCCCATTAATATAGCAAGTTATACAGTATGAACATAACACAAACCCTAATACACAAGGTTTAATAGAGTTGACCGGCTTGACTTGATGACTTGACTTGACTCAAGATTGACGATTGTCACATCATCCCCCGTTAGAGGGAATTTCGTCCCGAAATTTAAATTCGGCTGGGACTTCAAGGGTTTGGGAAAAGAT